ACCAAAGTTAGTTTAAAAGAAACATACTTATTAATATAATTAAAAATGATAAAAAAAAAATAATTTCCTTTTTTTTTTTGCTGAATCAGCATAAAATGCAAAAAAAATCAATGAAAAAAGAAAACAACATTTTCTCAGCCTCTTTATGACATTATAAGCCAAAACTTACAACACTGATAGATTATAGTGTATTAAACAAAAGCTTACTAGAAAAACTAAAAATAATTATTATTTTTAAAATGGCAGCTTTTTCAATTTTAACGGAAATTATTGATACAAAAAAAAAAGGTAAAATATGAATATATTCAAATGGAAACAAGCTTAAGATTAGTTCTAGTAAGCTATTGCAGTTCTATCTATAAAGAAACAACCCTGAAAATTTGAACTCAATTGCATATCTGGTTAAAAAGATATGAATGATTCGCTTATTGCAGTCAGGCAAAAACAAACAATTGAGAAATCAAGCTTCAAAGTTTAAAAACAATTTATTAATTAAAAATTTCCTGTAATATAAGAGTCTACTCCCTCTTTTTCTTTCTCCTTATCAATATAACCCTTCCTGATACATCTCCTTTTCCTTCTAGCCCTTTTTTGCTTTGGAGTTGAATTTTTAATCGTGTTCTTTACTCTTGATACGTCCTTCTTCCACGATCCTTGGATCATAAAACTTCCAGGCAAGAGCTGCAAATAATCAAAAATTCTTGTGAAACCTCTCAAACCATCATTGTAATTTATTACAGCTGAAGCAACACCAAGATCTAGTACCTTTTTAGTAACAAAAATATTTTTTGGACACTTTTTCCAGATTATCTGGTTGAAAGCCTCATTTGGATTTTGTGTTGCGCCATCCAGGCAACTTTAAACTTTTTTCTTTCTGCTTAACAAATAACATCAAAACATACGGCTTTGCTAAAAATAACTCTGGTTCAAAAGTTTAGTTAATTATACATACCCATGAAAAGAAATAATTGTTTAAATCTAGGTCTTTGGGTAATATATCTATAAAAAATTATTGGTTGCTATGTGGTTGTTAAGTAAATTTTTTTTACTCTTACCAACTAAAACAATTTTTTTACATTTTTTTATTAATTAACCCATATCATGTTATATATGGTTAAAAAGCCAATTGAATTTTAAACAAAGTTGGCTGATAAACTAAAAAACACATTTTTTCACAAAAATCGCTATTTTTTTACCTGATAACCACCTTAAGTATGTTTATGGTTATGTCATTAGAGAGTCACTGGGGTCCCGGCTAAAAATGAAACGTTTTGCAAACCCGGCCTCGGCAAAATAATAAGATTTAACCGGGGTTGATAACCGGGACTAGAAAAAAAATATATAATATTTTATATATTTTATAATTTATAAATATTTTATAATTTATATATAACTTTATAGTTACATTTACTATTTAATAAATACTGGCATGTATTTATATAATTAAACTAGTATTTATTTCCAACAAGGTTGCAAGCAGCCACTATTAAGTTATGGGTTACTTTAAAATAAAAAAACCGGGTTAAAAAGCTAGGAAATAGTCAACTGAAGATATAAAAAGTTGTAGGTTGTATATAAAAAGAAAACATGAAGATGGGTAAGAGTTATAAGAACAGATTAGAAAAAAATGTTGTATCGAACAACCTTTGTTACAGAAGATAAAAGTGATTTAGGTATAAGCAAGTAGAGAGGTAGCAGCTTTAGAATTATTGCATGAATGAGTTAAGATAACGCTCTAGATTGTTGATAATTATGATGATGATGATGATGATGATGATGATCATAATGATGATGATGGCAATAATGATGATTATGATGATAATGATGTTGATGATAATGATATTTATATAAGCATATATATACAAAATAAAACATGAAATTTGAATTAAAAAATATAGGGTAAGATTGCCGATATAGTACCCTCTAAGAATTAAGTTAAAAATAGAGAAAAAATACAAAATAGAAGCAATGACAATTTATTGAATTTATAATTTGGGTATAAACTGTTCTAAAAAAGTTGAAATATTTACAAATTTAAACGTTGGTATTTGATAAGGAAATAAATTTTAAAAAAACCTGCTATCGGTACTATTAAGGAAACAAGATCCTAAATCATACCATTATAATCCAATATTGTACCTATATCTTGATTTTACAAATACTATATTAATTTACAGTACATTTTGATAAATTTTTTTAAAGATCTTTTTCTGTGCCAAACAATGTAAAAAATCTTTAAATCTAATAAAATATGAAAATGTAAATCTTTCCTGAAATTCCACTATTCAAATAGTCTAAAAACAGGTATAACTTTTATCTCAATAAGGTATAACTTTTATATTAAATGTAACTTACTAATGTGGTAACTAAATTTTTGGTTGGAAAATGATGTATGTTATTGCTAATTATATTAATAATACAAAACAGGAAAACCTTATTCTTGAAAAAAGTTAAAAATGGCAAAAAGTTAAAAATTGTGGCAGCCTTGCCACAATTTAAGACCGTAAGTGAGGTACAAATTACGCAACTAGACTCGCTTTGAGTATATAACGAAATTAGACAACAAATGCTGCTGTATTTTAATTTCTTGGAAGTTATTTTGAATCCACATAAATAGTGCTTAAAGTAAATGCATAAAATGTGCAAAAAAATGCATAAAATCTGCAAAATAAATGCATAAATTGTGGAAAAAAATATGAAAAAATATTTAAAAAATGAGAAAAAATGTAAAAGATTTTGTCAGAGATACTATAATGAAACACCTTGTTGATAACAATTTAATAACCAAAGACCAACATGGTTTTATAAAAAGAAAAAACTGCATTACAAACTTACTAGAAACCTAAAATATTTTTACTGATCTTAAAGAAAAAGGTATCTGTGCTAATATTGCCTTTTTAGATTTCGCAAAAGCTTTTGAATCGGTTGCACATAGAAGATTCTCAAATTGGAGTCAATCGGTATAATGGGGTTATTACTTAATTGGTGTGTGTCATTTTTGAATAAAAGAAAATAAAAAGTAGTTCTAGGGAAATATGTATCAAAATGGGGAACTGTAAAAAGTGGAGTACCGCAAGGATCAGTTTTTGGTCCTTTACTTTTATTTGTAACTTTCATCAATGACTTAACACAGGGTTTAAATAACAAAGCTAAATTATATGCAGATGACACAAATGCGATAATAAAAATAAATAAAAACGATAAAAATTCGCACAATAATTCCCTTCAAGACGACTAGGATTATCTCTTCGAATAGTCGACTAAATGGCTAATAAACTTTAATAGTGATAAATGCAAGATAATGCACATAGGTATAACCCATAAAATAAACACACACTAAAATGCAATACTGAATAATTAGGAACCTCTAGAAAAAATTTTAAAGAGACATCGTTTAACGACACTTAGTTGTATATAATTCGAATGATTCAAAATGACAACATCATATTGAGTATATTGTTAACAAAGCTAATAGTAAGTTGGGGTTGAAAAAACACGCGTTTAACTATATCGACAAAAATACTATGAAACTATTATACAAAAAATCAATTGACTTATTAGTTCAACATAGCAAAAATAAAATTTTTGTCAAAAGATATTTTTGGGTTGTAAAAATAACTAGATACAGGAAAAGTACAATTTAGGCGCCGATACAATATCGACAACCTTACTCTACTTTAGAATGTATAAATATTCGGCAAAATTTCAACTCCGGTCGCTTTATATGTGTCATATAAGAATATTTTTCAAAATAATTGCGTTGATTGGAGCTGGGAGCGAAAATACTCGAGAAAGTTTGCTCCCCTTACCACCAACATGAGGAAACTGAGTTTTTTAAAATATTTTTTTATATAATTTAATTTCATATAATTCAGCAAACTTAATTTCAACGACAGGTCTTGAATTTCATCTAATAATGAGCACACTTGACATAGGGTTCAAATCCCAGAGGTCCGAGCTTCGTCACCGGGTCTAGCCTAATAAGCATAATAATAACTACAACAACAACAAAAAAATCTTCAAACGTTAAAAAGTTATGACCAAATTGTTGCCGCATTTTTTTGAAAATTATTCTCATATTACATAAGCATAAACATACTTAAATATGGAGTTTTTACTATATCTGAAAGTGTTATATCTAAAGCATTAACAAATTTTGCTTATGCTATTGCTTGCAACTTAAATGCATCACAGAAAAAGGTATTGAACATCAAAAAATAAAACAGTTGTAACACGTTCACTATACTTGATTAACCAATTAGAAAAACCATTGTTAAGAGAAATCTTAGAAAACCTAGGCCATGTTGTCAAAGATAATCTTAAAAACCTAGGCTTAATTACATTGTTTATTTACTCAGCACGAGTAAATAAACAGTGTGATTAAGGTTCAGAAGTATAAGTTAACTAACAACTACATACGCAAAAAAAGTACGCGTAATGGAACAAAAGGAAGAGTGAATAGAAAAAAATGCCGGACGCAATTGTAAAACAAAATTGATTAACAGATTTTAAATTAGACTCACATAGTTATGTATTAACAATGCTAGATTGTAACAGGAGTTTAACCATTTACGGGATTTTAATCATTTAGGAGAGATTTTTGCTTCGTTTAGTCTTTATTTTTGTTTAGACTAAAAAGATCATGACCAAAAATAATATTTCCAAAACAAAAAAAAAATGCTTGTTAAAACACTAATAATTACCAAATTATGAAGTTTCGCATTAAATTCAAAAACTATATTTCAAGTTGTGTTTTTTTCAAATTTTAATCATAGTCGCTAATGCGACATTAAAGCAGCCTTGCAAAAAAAAAATGCAGCAAAACAAAAGTTTAAAAAAAAAGTGGATAAAAAATATTTAAATGTTTTTTAAACATTTTTCGTTAGAATACCCCCCTTAAAAAAATTTCTTTAAAAATCTTGACTTCTCTGTTAAGGAAATTTGTTCGGAAAAAACATTGTAAGTATTCATTTTATAAAACATTGTAAATATTCGCTTACCTAACGTATTTGATATCTCTTTAGGCATACCAAAATATCTGCTAATGTTTAAAAATTCGTAACAAATATTTTCATTTGAAAATTTAAATGTTAACTATTTTCAAAAATATACCTTCAAAATATTAACAACGTTTTATTCACTTAAAGCAAAACAATGGCTTAGTAGACACTAAAAAAATTTTTCACAAGCTAATATGAAAAAATTTTAATCTCACGCTTATTTGACTAAATTGTTAAGAAATACTTTGAAAACAATCTTCGCAGTTGCAAATGTCTGTATTTCATCAACAATTTACTCGCAAACAAATATTTGCGCTCGACGTTATTAAACTAAGTAGGCTCTTAAAAAAAAAAGGTGGTTAACTTTAGTTAAAAACAAAAAGAGACGGCAAATATTTGAGACATTTTTTAACCAGCTCTTAAATTTAAGTAGCCAAGCAGGTTAAATTTTTTTTTTACTTAAAGAAAAGAATTTTTTAAGACCTTTAAGAAATCAAACGATAACTTCCTTAATTTTTACAACTTAAAGTTTTAAATGTCTAAATTTGTTTTTGATTATGCTGCAACAATAACAACATTAACAAAAAAATAAACTTTTAAATTTGGATTTTTGCCATTCTGATATATCAATGTAATTAAAAGTGTTTAATAATATATATTTTAAATATAGTATACACTCTAAATATATAGCATAATAAATAATACCAATTTTAAAAAGATGTTTTATAATTGCAATTTATACTTTTATAATATTTAAGTTCTTACCTTTTTGAACGTATAATAAAACAAATTTGGATGCCATTTTACAATTTATACGCACCTATAGCAATTTAAAACACATTAACTGAAGTGAAAACTTGTTTTAATAATAAAAAGAAATCATGAGGAAAACAAAACATTTTCGCACAACTGCTTTTGTTCTCTTCGTTAAAAAAAATTGAATATCATGAAGGTAAATATCGGATTTAGATGTTTAAAGAATACGCATAAATTAAACTTGGTTTAAGAAAAAGACAACTTTAATATTAGTTTTCTCCATAACAATTTATTTTTTAAAAAATGTTTATTAAGTGTTATTATCTGCTGTTTAATATTAGTGTCGCAAGAAGTTTGTAAAAAAAAGTTCAGGCGATAAAATTTTAACTTAAACGTTAAATTTGACCTAAAACAGTTAAGTTAAAAATGTAACGTTAAATTTATCTTAAACCAGTCAAATTAAAACTGTAACGTTACATGGGTTGTGACTCGCGCGATAATTTGTTAACATAAATGTTAAAGAGTTTTAATTAATTTATATGTTGTTTATTTATAAAACGGGTCATAAATACAAAATGAGGCAAACAATAAAAGTAGATTAGACAAGTTTTGATAAGTGATTTTTTTAAAAGCTTTTTTCTTGATTAAATGAAAAGATAAAACAAATAGTTTCTTTGTTAGTAACGGTCAAAAACCAAAAGCTTGCAAAAGTTTGTGTGTGTGTGTGTGTGTATGTGTGTGTGAGCGTGTGTATGTATGTATGTATGTGTGTGTGTGTGTGTGTGTGTGTGTGTATGTGTAGAAAGTGTTGGAAACTTAAAAAAGTAGCGTTCAAAATCATTCAAAATTAAATTCAAATATAATAAATGTGTCACACAAGACTCAGCTGTTGCAACACCAATCAGATTCAAAAAATGGCCGACGTATGAAACATATTTTGGATTTAACTCCTTAAAATAGGCTTTCAACCCAGAGCAGATCCCGCAGATATTGGAAGCAGTATCACACGACTACCAACCGCAATCAATAATGTTGATACCAATGTCTTTTTGACAAGATTAAACATATTAGTTGCCCCGTGACCTCTCATTAGAATGAATGATAAAAAACTTTTAGCTGGTTTTTTGTCAGGAATTACATACCGAACAACAAAAGTTAGTTAATCAACGTGCAAAACGTCTGTGGTTGAATCAAAGATGATTGAATTATATTTGGGAGCTTTAAGTTTAGTAACTGTAGGAAAGAAATTTGACAATATAAAGAATAAAATAAATTTCAAACTTGTCAAACTAAAAAAGTCTATTTCAAATTTGTCAAGTACTCTATTTAAAGCAGTTTCAAAGTATATCAAATAAAAATATAAAAGCAATTTTTAACTAACAATTATTTATAAACATGAATTGCCAAGTTTCTTGATAAACTCTTCACAAATTTTAGGCAGGTGGTCAATTATAAAAAAAGATAATTAGTTAAAAAAAGTATCAGAAAATGTTGGCAAGGTAGGTTAAAGGCGTATGTACTATAAGGGAGGTGGATGGTAGTCAAAAAAGCGTAGGGTTGAAATTAAAGCGTACGAAGTGCTGCCTTTACCTTGGTTTACTTTATTATTTATATACTTAGCTAAAAACGGGTTGTACTCAGCTAGTAACTCTAATGAGTTTGAGTAAAGTCTAATGAGAAAATTTCCATTATTACATGATCTAATTTTCTGGTCTGATCCAAAAAATGCAAAAAACACTCTTAGTCATCATGCGTAAAAAAATATTTTTTATTAGATTATTTTCATTAGTCCTACATAAATATGTATATAATAATAGGTTAGAAAGATAAATATTGCAAAAATATAAGCATAATAAAACTTTACCTGGAAGAAAGAAATTTGGCAACAGACACCCCTCGACGCAACACACTTTTCCAATATTCTTTTTTACTCTGAATCTATTTAATAAATTTGCAATCAATCCTGCATTCACTTTGATTAACAAATAGAGTGGTAGCATGTTCAGCAGATTGCTCATGCTCACTGATTCCCTTATAAGTAACATTCTAGCTGTAAAATAGATCTTCGCACTTTAAAAAACTAGTTTGCCTAAAAAAGAAGCAAGGTTTACAGTCCCCTCTTGGTAGTATATACCAACAAACTACGTTTTTTCTTTTCTCCATTTACTAGTTTTAAAAAAAATAACTCTTAGTTTCAGCATTGTCACGAATTTCAGACTTTGAAATATCAGTGGCGTTGACGTCTCATTTTGCTGATTTGTGTAATAAACTTAATCAGGTTATTATTTTGATGTATATAGTCGGCAGGGTTAGTAGAAAATACTTTGACGTTCTGAGTTAGTTTTTTGTTACGCAAGAACACTTAAGGAAAAAATAGATTGTACACATGTACTAACAAAAAAACAAAGTGTCAAAAGACTTTTTTTTAAGTATAAAAATTTATCTATTGAAATAGAAACAAAAAAATGATTATTGCTTGCCTTTATAATATACAATACCTGAAAGAAAAAATGTTTGAAAAAAGGCCTTTTTCTAAATTTGAGGGTAGCCCCAAACACATAATTTAACCAAAGTTTTACGTATTTTTTACCCGTGTGACACAAATAGAATACAAAATAAATTAACTTTGAAATGTTCTCAACACATTTCAAAAAATATCGCCTTTAAAAATTGTCTCTGATATATAAGGAATGGAAATGACAATCTCATCATTAAGGTGGTTCACCCCCAATAATTTTAGAAATTTTTTAAAAAATTAATTTTTCAAATATTAATATTTTTAGTTCATAGAACATATTTATAATTTTTTTAAAAAATAAAATAAATAAATATGTAAAAATGTGTGTACTTTGGCCATTAAAGGATTTTATGGTCCATAGCAACGCCATAGCAACGCATTTTTAAACAAGAAAATTTCAACTTCTCTTTTTATTAGTTTATTATAAGTAACTTCATTTTTATGGCGTTAAATCTAACATTGAAATTTTCATATAATTTTGCTTCATTTGAGACCAACATGATACACTTTTTTTAATAATTTTTTTTAATAATATTAGGAACTTGTTATGTTCAAGGGTCTTGAGGGAGTCCTCAAAGTATTTTTTATTCAAAAAATTTTAAAAACTAGTTTTTTTTATTATATAAAACACATAAGGTGGGTGGAAGCATATATTGTTCAAAAATGTTCATTTTAGGAAAACCCTATAAAATAGTTTCTATATTGATGATATATTGAAGTATTTTTTACTTGAGTGTACTTTTAACTTCTGTATACAGAAGGTAAAAGTAAGATTTAAATACAAAATTACATAAGTGTTTTTTATTAATTTATTAGTGCTCTGTTCTTTATACGTATTTGAGAGCATTGAGAACTTTATTTGTTAAATATAATAACATAAATTAAACACACACATATGTAAGTATTATATATATATATATATATATATATATATATATATATATATATATATATATATATATATATATATATATATATATATATATATAGTCATAAAAAGAATAAATAACAATATAATCAATGAAATTGCACTTTGATATATTAGGAAATAGTCATAACAGGAAAAACTAATTTTTATATGGAAAAAAAGTTGAAGCAATGACCAGAAAAATATCATACATATAGAACATATTTATCTAAAGTTTTAAAAAAAAAAATTTTGAAATCCTACAGTCAGGTTTTTAGAAAATTGATTTCAAATAAATAAACAAATCTATGATTTACACTAAAAAGGTATTAAATAAAAATAATGTTTAAGCACGCTAAGATTTTTAGTACTTCTTTTTATTTATATTTTTGTGAAATTTTTGTATTATTATATTAATTTACGTTAAAAATAAGGCTACATCATTGGCTTTTTAGAAATTAATTAACAAATAAACTGTTGCCATATAGAATATTCTCTGTGGTTAAGAACCGTAGGCATTTTAAAAGTTCAAAAGTTTTCTGTGTTTTCTTACGCATGCGTACCTAAACATAGCGCTTTTTACTAATATCTTAACGACCGTGCCGTAGCGGCTGCCTAGACTGGACATGGGTAAAGATGACATGGGTATTACTATAAATATACTTCAAGTAGTACAAATAATTTTTTAAAACTATTTATTAACTTAAAATATTAACAAAAAGTTTGTTGTAATAGCAAAGATAAAAAGTTTAATTCATAAAAAATTTCATTTTTAAATATGAAATGCAGTCGGATTGTTAATGCAGGAGCATTAACAATTCGAGTATGGATTGTTATCAGCAGACCCAAAAGGGAATAACAACTTACACAAAGCTTGGTTCTTGTCAAATTATAGAATGTTTCTCTTTTATTTTTTGTCGAAACCATTTTGATTTCAGTTTTTTAAAGACTATAGTTTTGTCTTTCATCCAATCAAAGTGCTTTCATCCCATCAAAATACAGTCCTTAAAGTAGGTT